AAGGTATATATATATATATATATATATATATATATAAAATACACACACATATACACACACATACACAAAGAAAAACAAGTTGATAGAATAGAAAATATAGAAAGCTAGTGTTTGTTTGTTTTTTGCTATGTTTTGAAAAAAAAAAGAGATAAATATAAAGTAGAATTAAAATAGAATAGAAAGTGTTAAGGCCCATTCACACCAAGCACGATAACTATAAAGATAACGATATAGTTCTAAAAAATCGTTCTCAATATTAAAGGATAGCATAGTTCACACCACAACAATAACGATAACGATACAGAGGAACGATATCGTTGTGATCACTTTCAAAACGATTTTTTTCCAGCTGATGAACGATAAAACACTGACAGCCAATCAGAATCCACCCTGCTGTAACGAGCTCGAGAATTTAAAGCGGCAGACGCGCGTGCGCTTAGAATAAACAGACGATATCGTTCGCTGGTGTGGACGCTAATATCGTTATAGTTATCGTGCTTGGTGTGAACGGGCCTTTAGAGTTAGAGGGTCAAATAAAGGCGTATATTATATAATAATATATTGTAATTAAAAGAACATCTTACTATTACACAGCTGTAACTCTATCACACCTACAGCTTCAGAAACACTCACACTGTCCGCTCTTTTATGACTGAGCTGATGCCGTTCAAATCTTCACCGAAGCGGCGAACTGCAGAACGCAGCATCTCGATCTCCGTGTCGGTCCACTTGGCTCTGAGAGAAGTCAGTTATAAAATATCGACTATACTTAAACATCGACGGTACATTTGAAATACAGCAGAAGGTGCGGTTTGAGCGGAAAGCAGGTCATGAACCACATCTCACCCTGCAGGAGAGGAGTCCGCCACTGGATGCAGCTGCATGGTCAGCTCACCCAGTTTCGAGAAAGCAGCGCCTGCAGCCGAGAAGATCTCGCCCACCTGATTGACATGTATATGTGCTTTTGATTGATCACTTACTTAAGAATACTTATAATGCAAAACAAAGCAAATGTTTACCTTTGTGGAAGCTGAAGTCATGCTGGAGTGACACAAATACAACAACAGTGCAGTCGAGTCTCAGTCAACTGCGCTTAATAACTTAAACGATCAAACCGGTTTAAAATTACGGCTGCAGTCATCCAGTGACCATTCGTAGGAAAATATCTTTATCTTTATTTTATATCTAATTTAAAAAAGGCTCTTTAATCAGCATTAGCGGAACATAATAGTTCGAACTAAAAATTCCCAGAGTACAATGCGGTTCGAAAATGAGGCGTGTGATTGGTCAGTGCATAGCCAATCAAATGATTGCACACCATCCGCGCAACACCCATACGAAAATAGCCGAGCACAGTCGAATGTGCTTCCGGAACTAGTCGAACACACCCGAGTGCTGCCGATTTATATCCCGTCGATTGGATCGAGAGAAAGCTGGAGACATCATCCCGACTGGATGTAGCATCCTTTTGCTAGTTTTTTTGAGAGGAAGAATCGGTGGGCGATTTCGGATAAAATGCCGTCGCTTTTATTCTGTGGGCCGAAGTTGGCCGCCTGTGGGATCGTGTTAAGCATCTGGGGTGTCATTATGCTGGTAAGGATTATAACCATCGTGACATTGCTTGCTAGCTGTAGCTACAACGACAGGAACATTCTTCCTGTATAATAATAGTAAATATTGCTGTGTTTAGATTTATTTATTTTTTTGATAAAAAAGGGCATACATTTATAATAAATGTGCATAGACAGATTTGTTCAGTCATGTATTTATCTGCCGAATATACCAGGAGCTTGATATGAGGACTATATATAACAGCAGGTGTTGGGATCATGGGATGTAAAGGCCTACATAGCTATTCTTTACCGCCTTGACATGACATTTTTTTACATTTTCTTTCTTTTCTTTTTCTTTGTGTGTGTGTATTTTAATAGATATGTATTGGGTTCAAATATCCATAATTAATTCCATCTAATGTCGTAATATTGAATATGAATAAAAATCCTGTTATGCTTTTTTTTCCAGTCAATGTTGGGGATTTTCTTCAGTGCAAAATCTGCTGTGCTGATCGAAGATGTTCCTTTTACTGAGGAAGACATCCGTGATGAGTAAGTTACTATCCCTCATCTTTAAATATTGATGCTGTCATGTTCTAGAGAGGTATCTGATCAAATATATTAAGACAATTTACCTTTTGAGGGTCAGTTGGATTTGTATTTTAAATTTTTTTGACCCAGTAAGGACACATTCATTTCATTAAAAGTGACTGTAAAGACAAAGAAAAAATCCTATTTCAAATTAATGCTGTCCTTTTGGATTTTCCTTTCATCACAAAATAATAATAAGAACTGTTTTTTGAGCCAAATCAGCATTAGAATGATTTCTGAAGGATCATGTGACACTCAAGAGTGGAGTAATACACACCCGAGTGCTGCCGATTTATATCCCGTCGATTGGATCGAGAGAAAGCTGGAGACATCATCCCGACTGGATGTAGCATCCTTTTGCTAGTTTTTTTGAGAGGAAGAATCGGTGGGCGATTTCGGATAAAATGCCGTCGCTTTTATTCTGTGGGCCGAAGTTGGCCGCCTGTGGGATCGTGTTAAGCATCTGGGGTGTCATTATGCTGGTAAGGATTATAACCATCGTGACATTGCTTGCTAGCTGTAGCTACAACGACAGGAACATTCTTCCTGTATAATAATAGTAAATATTGCTGTGTTTAGATTTATTTATTTTTTTGATAAAAAAGGGCATACATTTATAATAAATGTGCATAGACAGATTTGTTCAGTCATGTATTTATCTGCCGAATATACCAGGAGCTTGATATGAGGACTATATATAACAGCAGGTGTTGGGATCATGGGATGTAAAGGCCTACATAGCTATTCTTTACCGCCTTGACATGACATTTTTTTACATTTTCTTTCTTTTCTTTTTCTTTGTGTGTGTGTATTTTAATAGATATGTATTGGGTTCAAATATCCATAATTAATTCCATCTAATGTCGTAATATTGAATATGAATAAAAATCCTGTTATGCTTTTTTTTCCAGTCAATGTTGGGGATTTTCTTCAGTGCAAAATCTGCTGTGCTGATCGAAGATGTTCCTTTTACTGAGGAAGACATCCGTGATGAGTAAGTTACTATCCCTCATCTTTAAATATTGATGCTGTCATGTTCTAGAGAGGTATCTGATCAAATATATTAAGACAATTTACCTTTTGAGGGTCAGTTGGATTTGTATTTTAAATTTTTTTGACCCAGTAAGGACACATTCATTTCATTAAAAGTGACTGTAAAGACAAAGAAAAAATCCTATTTCAAATTAATGCTGTCCTTTTGGATTTTCCTTTCATCACAAAATAATAATAAGAACTGTTTTTTGAGCCAAATCAGCATTAGAATGATTTCTGAAGGATCATGTGACACTCAAGAGTGGAGTAATGATGCTGAAAATTCAACTTTGCCATCACAGGAATAAATTATATTTATTATATAAATTATATTTACATATTAAAATATATTAAAATAGAAAATAGTTCTCCTAAATTGTAATATTTCACAATATTACTATATATTTAATCAAATAAATGCAGCCTTGGTGATCATACGAGACTAATTTCAACAGCATTACCAACTTACCGACCCCAAATCTTTGAATGGTTGTATATGAATGTAAGTACGACTTTGAATAGACTACATGTATCGAATGAGAACTGTCAAATATGGCATTTCTACATGCAAATGTTTACTTGTGAGCTTTCTTATCTTCAACAGCAAGAATCCACCGCAGAACATTTATGGACTCTACAACCAAGTCGGCATCAACTGCTTCATTGCTGCTGCCATCTACGTAGGTGTCGGCGCTGTGTCTCTGTGTCAGGTTCGCCTTAACAAGCGCCAGGAGTACATGGTCACATAAACCCAAACAATTTCAAATTCAATAGCAATTTTTCATAATTATTTATTTTTAAAAGACTTCTCAATGATCTTGGAGGACAGTCTGTTCTGTTACATTGTCTGAAATGGATATATTTGGCAGTTCATCTTCAGGTCAAAATCTAAACACTAGATATATTGATAGCGTAATGAATACAAATTGAAATAATCATGTAAAACAGTATATATGCATGTTATGTGTTATATTTTTCAGAAATATTCAGATCTTTGGCTCCACATTCCCTATGATATAAATAAACAAAACAAGCAGAAGGTCTTTAATAGTTGACTTCTGATGAATAACCTAAAAGACACTATAAAACACTAGGAGTCCATATGATAGTTGATGGTGTTCATGTAGAATGTGTGTATGTTTGACTTTTTTTTTTAAATTTCAATATTTAAACATTTGTGTGGTAATATAAATGTCTATAATTTTATTGAAGTACACCCTTGTGTAGTATACTTGATATCACATTTGTGATGAACAACGTAAGATATGTGAATGGAGAGTCTTATGTTCCCTTCAATAAAATACTAGTAGAAAAAATGTTTTTATTGTTCTTTTGTCATAACTATAAAAAATTGATAACAGAAAATAAGAAAACGTGTAACATTTCTCAATAAGACAAAAGCTTTGGTGATGTTACAACGGGAAATATATTTAAATCACTGAGTTTGTCAAACAAAATTTCTTTAGATTATGAAGAACAAAAAGTGTGGATGCTTGTAGATGGGATTCAATAAGGTTTTGATGCGTGTAGATACTTATAAAGTCAGCTGGCAGATATTGCAATGCAACAGTCCATTTAATAGGTCTTTATGTCTGCGGATCAAGCATTATCTCGCAGGTGTGTCCCAGCTCTCCCAGTTTGATGCGGGCATATTCTGCACGGTTTAGGGCCATCTGACAGTCCTTTCTGGCAGAGTATGTCGATCCCTCATGAGGCTGACCTGTTGCCACCTTTACTCAAAAAACAGAAAGGAAGAGAGAAAGAAAAAAGAAACAAAGAAGTTAGTGCATCACATCACAGAGGTAGTCAAATGTTTCTTCCAATTGTATATGTTTTATACATATATACACAGCATTAATGGATTGATAAAATGATTGACAGATGGAACAACAGAACAATAGAAAGAATGACATACACAGATAGATAGATAGACCGATAGATACACAGATAGATAGATAGACCGATAGATACACACACAGACAGACAGACAGACAGATACACACACAGACAGACAGATACACAGACAGACAGACAGATACACACACACACACACAGATAGATACACACACACACACACAGATAGATACACACACACACACACAGATAGATACACACACAGATAGATAGATACACACACACACACACACACAGAGATAGATATATAGATACACAGACAGATAGATACACACACACAGATAGATAGATAGATAGATACACAGACAGATAGATACACACACACAGATAGATAGATACACACACACACACACAGATAGATACACACACAGATAGAGAGAGACACACACACACACACAGATAGATACACACACAGATAGATAGATAGATAGATACACAGACAGATAGATAGATAGACACACAGACAGATAGATAGACACACAGACAGATAGATAGATACAGATAGATAGATAGATACACAGACAGATAGATAGATAGATACACATATAGATGGATAGATAGATACACATATAGATGGATAGATACACATATAGATGGATAGATACACATATAGATAGATAAATAGATACACAGACAGACAGATAGATAGATAGATACACATATAGATAGATAAATAGATACACAGACAGACAGATAGATAGATAGATACACATATAGATAGATAGA